GAATTTGTTTTTTGCTTTACTTTCTTCTCAAAAACGCTCTATTGTAATTTCACTTAAAACTACTGACGATTTGGAGGTCCTGAAATGGAGGCGAAAAATTGCAACATAAATTTAAAGCTTTGTAAAAACTTTACAAAAACTTTTTTCAGCGTCGAATTCGGAACAAAAACGAAAATAAATTCCTCCCGTTTTCAGCCAAAAATTACAACATTTTGCTAGAAAATTCGCCTCATTCATCGGTTTGCAGGGAAATTCAGAAAACCCATTTCTGCTTCGAATTTAGCACAAAAGCCAAATGATTTTATTCAGTTTTTTACCGAAAGTAATTAGGATTATCTTGAAGAAACGACCAGAGAGCAAAAGTTTACAAAAAAATATTTGAAAAATTCGCCGCTTTCATTGCTCTGAAGATTTTTCAAGTTCCTTTGAATTTTCAGGTCTATTCAGTTTTAGCAAAGTTTCTATTAAGCAATCCTTTCTACGCAAAAAATTGCATAATTTTTCAGTTTTACTTAATATACTGACAATTTTCAGGTATTTTCTGTGAAAAATTATAAGATACATTTTATTGGGGCACTTTCCTCTTTAACCGCTTTGCAAAAATGTTTGAAAAACTTTTTGCAGGTTCGAATTATGGAATTATGGAATTTTTCTGAAAATATTTCCCCGAACTCAAAAAGCGAAAGTTTATCTCGTGATCATTTATTTGCAAAACTCTTAGAAACTGAGGTTTATTCACTTCTTCACTGTCTCTAAACAGAAAAACCTCGTTTTTTCCTAACGTTTTACTGTAAAATGCTGGCAAATCGTATATTTTATGCAAAAAATTGAGAGATTGATTTTACAAGAAAACTCGTCGACTTTCTTTGGACTCAGTTCTGTTGCTGGGAAAATCTAGATTACTTTTTTTTAGTTGTTTGAACAAAGTAGTAAAAAGTTACCCAGAAAAAATGTTGAAGAACTTTTTTTTAGATGTAAAAGTTCCCGTCTCGGGTCTCGTAGAGCTTTAATAAATTATTTGTAGCTCATTAACCGATGAGTTATAACTCGTTAACTCAGAGAGCGGCAACAATTCAATAGCGCAAGTCAACTCAGTGTTACCCAGGCCTATGCGGCATAAGTTAAGGTTGGTAGCACACATTGATTGAAAACCTGAGTTTTGAGGTGTTTTGTCTTTAATACGTTACTGTGTCTGTATATGCTGTCCATCGAAGTTCCTTCTGTTTATTCCATCCCATTTCGTATCTCGCATTTTGTAGAATACTGTCTTCTACTCCAAAAGTTCCTACGTTAAGTGTCGCTTAATTTAGTAGTACTTTTCCTATCGAGTCTTCGGCTCCCCCAGAATTTTTCAAGGGGTGGGATTGTAGACATCTTTTCCTACCCATCTGGGGTCTATCCAGATTTGTTTTGCTACTCTCTTTTGCAATAGATGCAAAACTACGTAGTTTTGCATCTATTGCTCTTCTGCAATTGTGTGTAAGTACTGGTAATGTGTAACTGTTGCTGTATTTAAATCGCAATATGTCAAACTATTAGGTGTAAAATATTTTTTTTACTATTTAGCCGACATGCTTCCACTGATCTAGATCTCTGGCTTCCATGATTTGTTAATTTCAAATGGTAACGTATGATATTTTAATAAGAAAAAGGCTTCCCAGTAGTATCGTTTCATATTTGCTTATGCAGCTTGAGTGCTATTTTATTTTACCTTTGTCTCATTATTTTCCTTCGACGGTCTTTGCTAGCCACCAATTGCACAATACCAGTATCTTATGGCATTGAATATACTATACATATAGTTATACAGGGTGGGGAAATGCTTTAATCTAAAAAAATAATTGATGAACTATGAGAAAATGGTATTCACAGTCTACAAACACGTTTTCAGTAGTGTAGGAACTCTGAAAGAAAATTTTTGAGCAATAAGAAAACTTATGTTTTATAAATGAATCATAGGCTTAGAAATAATATATTTTTTCTGGTTCAATATTTTCATTTTTTTGCCCAGGATAGATGTAATATGAAAGAAAATGTAAAAACATATTAGTGGTTGAACGACAGCGCGCGATGCGTTCTGCATGCTCTAAAACTAAGAAATGTAAAAAATAACTTAATTCCGCATATTCCATATTACCCCGTTAACAGGCGTTTAGTAATTAAAATTTGTGAAAATCGTTGTTATTTGTAATTTAGAAAAAAATAACAATCTTTTTCACAAATTTGCTTACAAAGCGTTCTGTATGACACGGAATTAACTCATTTTTGTATATCTGAACGTTCAAATAAGCACCACTAGCTCGTGAAATGTGATTCAAATATTTTTTGTTCATTCCACTTTTTTACATCTTTCCTGGCTCAGACTGTATTTGTTTATATAATGTTCCGAAAATTGTATTGCTTACCATCCTTAGAGTTCCTTCTTGCTTCCTAATTTTAGGCGAACGATTTTTTTAGACAAGACACTGTAGTGATTGTAGAAGATTGTAGAAAAAGAGCTCTGGAAGATATTATAGAAGAAGACAGCGACCTTAGCGAGAACAATAGTCTAGATGAAGATTGCAATAGTAGTTTAAGATAGTAGTGTAAGCTAAAGGTAGTTTAGACTTGATTGTATTTTTTCGTAATATGTAGATTTGGTCAATCACTTGTGTGTACAATGGGTCAAATTTATTTCCGGGTTATTTCAAAAACCGCATTTTGCGATTCAAAAATCGCAATAAATGAGGAATCAATCACTAAAATACTGAATCAATTACTGAACAAATTAAAATTAAATTAGAAGAAACCGTACGAGGTACAACAAATTTGGAAATGTGTGAACACAAGTTGGTAGATCACATGCTACTCATGAACCGGATGCTCCAAAATTGGCATCATCTAGGAGTTGTATACAACATATTCGTTGTCTTTTGCAATTTTTATTCTGCCTTCTACTTTTGTTTTATTCACCATGTTTACCTTGACTTAAACTTCGCATTTGTCTGAAAAAACACACGAAAAAATCAGCGTAATGTTTGTCGATTTTGCAACTCTTAAAAAAACGCGCGTATCTAAAAGTTCTTGAAATCAAGGCTTTTTGAGAAAACTACCAACATTTCCTTATCGATGGTTTCTTTTCTAAAAAGGCTTTTTAGTTCTCTACGGAACGATGTAAAAATTAACGTTTTCACTCATTTTGCTTCCGAGAAATGATCAAAAACGGGACGAAAAACATTAAATGTTGGCACAATCTTGCACCTTGTGTCTGATATTCAAATTTCGCTCTCTGTGTCAAAACTACTCAAATTTCCTCACTCATGTTGTTATGACTGAATTGAATTATAAATAATCTATCCAACGATGCCAAAACAAATTCTGTGGCTCAAATGGTATAAAAAAATTGATAAATTTAACCCAAATACAATCAAGATCAATTACGCTATTAAACAATATTACAAAATCTTTCTATTACCATATGCGATATGTGTCAAAATCACTATTAATTAATTTGTAACGATTTGTAGTTCTATGTTTCAATCTAATAACGTTTAAATGTCCACAATCAACTGAAAGTTGCAGCCAAAGTATGATAGAATGTCAACTTGTAGCAAACCCTCTAGTCAACTATAGTGCGCTTAATTACAATTGTATTTAGTGAAATTGGAAACATATTTTTGTATACGGAACAAATTCACGAATATTGACTGAAATATTCCTAGATTAAGATGACTTTAACTATGCAAAACTATTAGGTACAATGATCTTATACAATGTCTTCATTTCAAAACGAGCGTAGTAAGAGTACTGGTAGAGTAAGCAAGTAATTGCCAATTGCCGAAATTTACGTATTCAAAAACACGTCTATATATAAGGCGGAACATTCAAATCAATATTTTAAATAGGTATACTTTGCGCTCATCCACTTCATCATAAGAATTATAAATGGCACCACCTCTCAAGTGATACTAAATATTCAGGAGCGTTACAGGGTGACCAGGTTAAATCTAATTAATTTTAATAGGTGAAAGAGCATAGCCAATAAAACATAATTTCATTAAAAGACGTTACGCGCAGATGTTCCTTAACAAAAGTAACGGCTGTTAAATATTGAAAAAGTTTTATTTTTATAATAATTTTCCATCCATTAATTTTCATAAAATCTTGTACACATGGTACTGTAATAAATGGTGCAACTGATATAAATAAGTAATTGCAAAAAATACTAATTTAAACAGTTTGTTTGTTCAAAAGCAGTGGCGTATTAACTGGGGAACTTCTCTCTTTTTTGGTCCAACATAAATATTTTATAATAATTAAAACCTTTTTAAATTTGTTGAGTGATTACTTTAAATGTAAATAATTACCTTTGGATTGATAGACTGCAAATTATGTTTACCAGCTTTCTGTAAGCTGGCGCCCCGTCCTCCATTTTCTACCCATTAATCCTAAGAAAAACACCCTATATTTGAACAGCCAATATCGATCTACTCCGAATTAAGAACTTAAATCTTTTTTCAGTTAGCAGATACCGGGTAATCAACCGTCATTTTGCCTTTTGGCACCAAATCCAAATCATCTTGTATAAGCTGTCAATGAACAAAGAACTGAGGACGTATTTTGTTCACTTTCCGTACCAAACTGCATATTTATTATCTTAAAATTTATTTATCATTTTAAAATATTTACAGGTTTCATCAAAAAAGAGGAAAGCACCCCCATTTTAGCGCCCCACTAATGTGAAACGTAGGCTTACCTGGCTTTTATTACAGTACGATGTGTACAAGATTTGATGACAATTAAATGAATGGTTTTAAAACGGTCATAAAAAACTTTATTTAAAACTTATACACTCTCTGCTAGGAAACATCTGCCAGTAAAGTTTTTAAATTAAAAGTTTACTTAATTCTGATTCTTAACTCTTTCACCTGGCAAAACTAATAATGTTTAAAAGCGGCTTGAAATTCTGCACGATTTCGCTGCAGACCCAAATTGATCAATTGCAAAATTGTATCTTAGCGGTTTTAGAAAACACAATCTTCTTTCTTATAAAATCCAAATTTTTGAAGCAGTTAACGAATAGCGAATTGAAAATCAAATTTAATTATGCGAAATAAAGTAAATTATGATTGAATGTTTTTTTGCTGAAAACATAATAAACGAAAACGTGTTCGATCTTTACATTTTGGGTGTGTCTGAGCATGAGAATTCTCTTTAACTGGATCTCCTTGAGTCATTAGAGATATATGGAACACATATTGGGGCTATGCAACTAATAGTGCCTGCCACTGATAAAGTTTGTGCCTACCGTTATTTATGTACTCTTTACACTTGGCTCAATTGTATTCTTATTTAACTTAGGTTGATTCGTGACACCTTCGAGTATCCACGAGTTCTCAAACATGAGGACTCTTCACATACTCCTTTGATCAAGCACTTTTAAAATCAAATATATCCAAGATACAGTTTTACATGATTCATTTAACGCCGACAAAGAAATAGTAGATGATAAACATTGGCAAATTTTATAGGCTGCAAATTAACATAAAATTCCCAACAAGGACATTTTGCCAGTTCCGCAATAGTGCCTRGTACTAACTCAGTTACGGCCTGGAATTATTAGTGAACGGACACTAAACCTATTCTTCTAAATATCAGTAATACTTGACAGGTAGCGTCATTTAAAATTATTATAATGAGTTTGACGTGAATCTGTTCAAAATTTTGCATTGATTGTTTGCCCTTTATATCTCATTTTGTACTCTCAATAATTAAGTTGTGTCGTTTTGAAATGCACCGTTTCACTTCGAGTAAACCTTACAATATTTTACAATTTATTGTGTTTGTTAGAATTTTATTTTTGAGCTACGTGCAAATAATGCATGTAAATGTTTTTAATGTAACCGTTTTTCTAATTACATCATTGGCGAAAATAAGTTTCTTAGAATTACAGGCCGAATATCATTAAAAGATTTTAGTCAATTACCAAAGCCTCAATCTAATATAAGGGAAATTGTCAGCTGATCTGCTAGTAATAATTATGTGATAATTGAAGTTTCTGTAGGAAAGCTAATCTAATAGCTGTGTAGCCAATTCGTAACAATTGAAGTTTGCAATGTTATGTTCCATTTAGATTTTAGTGTTAGAATAATATTTTGCCAATAAATATATATTGACATCATAGGTCGGCATTAGTATGCTGAAAAATTATTTTGTTTTTAGTTTAAAACTTCCAGTAAACAAAATACAGAGATTCCGCTGTGTTATCTTTTGTTTAACTGGTCAATTTATACATTCTCATGCTTTCTGAGTAATTTGGATCTTTAATCCTTTGTTTGCGAAGAAAATCTCACGTAAAAAGGTTGTGCGATCAACATTTCATTATTGTGCTCTGCCAATTAAATTTTTGTTTCCCTCAAGATATTGATTTTAATTTGGCTTCTTTATACAGTTACATGCGTAAAAAAATAGACAGAGGTTGATAACTTTAATCTTTCAATAACATTTGCTTCGGCTGCCTGGAATTTAAAAAAAAGTCTAAATAAATATTGTGCGGAAAATGTCACCGATCCCAAAAAAATATATATTTCTCGAATGGCACAAGATAAGTAAGACGATCAAAGATCCAAATTACTCAGAAAACATGATGCTTTAACACCGTACACTTTTTTCTGTCTGAGTTTGATGACACTAATCAAACATCCTTTACCAAATGTTTATTACATTGTTTTACAAGCTGTCCAAGAATAGAGATATGGTTTGATAAAAAAATTTTAAAATCTGATTATCGAGTGTAAAATTATTGACGGTTAAAAGATAGAATGTTGCCTTTATTGAAGGCTCTTGCAAAGGTCCACGGGTAATCAGCTCAAGTCCAGAACTTTCTTCATCAATTTCTTGGTTTCTACTTTTTCGAAAGGGCATGCACATTTGACGGTGGAATATTCATTTCCATGTTGATTTGTTCTTCTACTTTTTTACCATTTTTCGTTCTCGTTTCTTAGAGGCCGTACAGATGTGTAGGGTTCATTTAGTCCTTCGGTGGCCTCTCACAAGCTTTTTTATCATTAGTTTCTTCAAATCCTCTGTGACCCCTATTCAGAATTGCTTTGGCTTTTACTGTTCTATTTATCTGCTAGCGCTTTCAAAGTTGTCCTTTTTAATAATTTTGTTTCGCGTTTTCGGCGCGCCTTCAGCGGGTTTTATAGTTATAATAACTTATTCATATATTTTATTTTCTGGTTAACTTTCTCAGCCTATTAAACTTTAAATAAAAATTAGAAAACATGTACTTCTCGGCTGGATCAACTTCCATCAACAGCCACTTTTATAATCAGCAGGTGAGAACTTGGAAAAATCGACGAATCACGACATTAATGTCACTGTGTGAACGAGCTTTAACTCCGTCTTCCTGTCGCAATAAAATATTTTATTAATGACAAGAATGACAGTAATGTTATTTAAAGCTTTCAAATCAGGTTTGTTATAAAGTTATCAAATAATATACCTACCTTAAAAGTAAAGACAAGTTTTGTTTATAACTTTATTACGTACAAGAATCTATATGTAACATACCAATATGCAAAATTCAATTGATTAACCATAAAATTAGATTTGATAACTATACACTAGTAACTCATTGTAAATTGTAACTATTTTGTTTTTAGCTGGTCCAGAAGAAAAGTCTTATTTTATGATACTGAAAATCAGAAAAGGATAACTTTGTTACGTCCATAACAGAAAAATATGTTTAGTCTTAATAAAACACTTGGCAAGTATATACGTGTTTTTATGTCAACTATTTCCCAGATTTATAAAGTGCAGGGAAATCCACGATACAGTGTATCCGTAAATGAGGCAAAAACATCCAAGGAGTGATTCTGTAATGATAAATGCCTATCTGAAGCCATCAAAAACTTTAAAATATAACGGAATTGAATTTAGGATTTTAAAATAATTTTTAGACCATGTTTCCTTTGCCTTAACACATTATTTGCAAATTTGCCGTACTCTCCGCAATTGTTGCTCAGTATAAACGATTAAAATTTAACATTCACCCCTTAAGTTCCAAAGTGACAAAATCAACATTCACTCTTTATGAAAATGTCTCAATTTCGTATCAATGAGCTACTATTATATTGATACACTGCAACATATTCTTCAAAGACGTTTTTCTGGAAAATTAGTACATTTTTCAAGGAGAAGAAATCAAGAAAAAGTTATAGTTTTCCACACACCAATGGCGATTCTCAGCTTTGGGCATTAGATAATAGATTAAAATTTATTCTTACCAGCATTCAGCAAGCTGGCGCCCTATCCTCCATTTTCTAACCGTTAATCTTCAAAAAACTCAAACTACATTAGAACAAAGAACAAAGATTCGAGTTACTATTAAAGTGAATTTAATCTGTCAAAGTCAAGTCTCAACTGTCACTCGACAGCGAGTAATTTGACGTTTCTCAGCGTCACTCTCGCGGATTTCACTTTCTATTTTTCCATAGTACCGGTACCGGAAAGCAACAGGTTTTTACATAAATTTAATTAAGCAGATGGTCTTGAAAAGCATTGTTGCCATCCTTCTGATATCGTTTTTTGCAAATTTCTGAGTTTTTAATAACAATTAGTGTACAACACTATAATAGAAAGTATTTATCAATGATATTTACGTTGCTTACTTGCCTTTGCAATATGTTATTTGTAAATAAAGGGTTCCATTATTATTATAGTTATAGCGCGCGTTGAAGCACCATGCGATTGAAAGTTCTACTTGAATCGAAACACCGCAGATGTTAGTGGGTGAGATATAGCTGGCGTTTCGGTTGGAGCTGCTACTTGAGAAGTGGCGGATAGAGTTCGCCACATAGTAATATATTCTTTGGCATCATCGCAAAAACTATGCTCTACCGTGGGATACCAAAAAGCGATTGGCAGCCATGTTGTTCAGGTCAATAAAGTAGTGATTTTTGTTTTACGGGTGTGGCAAGTGGCAACCGACAGATGTCAAATTAAATCTATTGTGGGTGTTACGTTTTTCGTTTGGCCATTTGTCAGCGAATCCAATATTACAAAGTTACTTGAAAAACTGATTAATTTTAGGAGTTCTATGAGAAGATGAGCGAGTACATCGATATCAACAAATGTTTATGCTGAAATTGGAAGGTAACGCTTCTACCTCCGCTTATTGTAATCAATGTTTTGATGCCCTATTCACATTTTGCAATAAGGCTTGACATTTAAATTTTGTAAAAGATTACGGCATTGCAAAAAAGCTATATTGCCATGAAGAAACTTTCAGTGTTAGTGAGTCAGGCTTTAAACTATAGTTACCGTTGATGAAATTGGGAATAAACGGATCAGTTATAGATTTACTGCACCCTTAAGAAAGTCATAATATTGACTTTTTAGTTCGGTTGTGAAAGTGTCGAGAATATAGTTAAATTAGAGATGAAGTCGATATAAATCGGTATGGTTGAGAAAGGAATTACACTTTGAGTTGCCTTACACTACTTACTGTCGATATCAAAACGGGAGACTAAAAACTAAGACAAAATATAATCAACGAAATGATAATGAGGTAATTTTATATATGTACTTACAAAATCCAGTTAGGTACACACGTCGATCAACGCTCCTATTAAAGCACAGGTTAAGATCCCCAAAAATATGTAACTTAGGTGTTATCATTTTTTTTGATAAAGAGACTCCATATGTAGGTATGTATCATACATAAAACCTGCTTTACTATAGCCGAAGTTCTCTATAAATAATAGAAAAACTGTACTTTTATACTACAGTAATGCATGAAGAGTTCGGACGCCTATTTGTGTAAAATGACATCCTTAATATGAAAACCTGAATTTTGTTGTCCGAATCATAAAGAAAATAAAATGAAAACAGTTCAAAATCAAAATAGAAGATTTATATCGAATAGGCCTAGAATTTGCGCATAATTCGAATATGCAATAAAAAGTACCCCATTCCATTAAAAAAAAGGAAGTTTGAAGATGAGTCACCCTACCCTGTATCAATTGCTATGATTTTAAAACAAAATAGACGCTAATATCTACAACTTTTCTATTAAATATTTTTCCCTAAATTTCAAATGAAAAAACAAAAAAAGAAAAGAGGTCAAACTAGATGTAGAAAAATCAATCAATAACTCTGTACATATTTACATATCTATAAACCGAAAGTGTTCGAATTATAAATATCATAAAAATACAACCAGATCTTTTAGTGTAAAAGGCGATAGTGACAAAAAGTTGCCAGTTTCGGTAATTTATCAGCATACATCATCTTTGATTGATTGAACAGTATCCACGACATCTTTAGACTCTAGTTTGTGTCATCATCATCATTTTCTTTCATATTGGTGACTCAAAAATACGAAAAACGGTTTTAGAAATTCCAAATTCTGTAGTAACTTACAATGATTTCATCATTTATTAATAACTCGGGTGACACAACATTAATTATCACCAACCTCAGCAAAATTATTGTGTTTAGTTTTGCTTTTTTAAATTAAACAGTTTTTATTACCTTTCGTGACTACTGCTAAGCTCGATGAATGGAGTGCATGACATCTAAAAAGGGCATTGAAAAATATCTTCCACTGTTTAATGTTTCCAACATTTTTATCAGCATCATTAGTTTTTTATATTTGAAACTTTTAGGTTGGCCGATCTTCTTATAATTCTTCCAACGGTCAAGCTAGACATTGTTAAACCACTCACCGCTAAAATTTATCCGCAGTAGACTCCCAACACTTTTTTCCTAAAATGATTTTAATGTTTTTAAAGCGATCAATTATACTTCTTAAACATCAAATTTTTTTTCTTTCTCAATTAATTTTACTGGCATTTTCGTGAAGAATGTGATTACTTAGTGGATGCCATTCCTGTTTCATAGTCAATCTGCACCGATTCGCCGTGATGTCGCCATGATAGATGAACACAGAAGCATTGTTGCCAAGGTTTAGTTAAAGAAAGTTAGTCAACAACGAAAAGTCGCCCAAAACTTGGCGGTGCTAACTTTTACGGCCCATTTTGGCGCATATCGCATTTCAACATTTGAGTCGCATTTTCACAAATTTGATTTTCACCTAATTTGCGATTTGTCGCCCAACTTGGCAGCACATAAATTACAAATTTCAAGTAAACTTTAAATTTGGACAAAAGTTGCCGATAAGCCTACGTAATTCATTAAAAAAGCATGTCGGTTACTTTTTAATGAAAATACTTTACAGTGACAATGAGACGTTCAACACTTGGCGTAAAATAAAACAAATGAATACTAAAGAAAAGTGCTTATTTATGGTCACGGCTTCTGGTCGGAAAATGGCAGTTTTTGATTAATTCGAATAAAACGGAATTTGTTTGATATTTATGATACAAATAGGCATGCCAACGAAACATATGATAATAAGTTTATTCCAATACTCATTAAGTCATTATGACTATGAACAAATTGATTCTAGTATTATGTCAGACTTTGTTCACCAATATGTTTTACACCACCAATCTCTAAAATAGCTGATTTTACTTCATGGGGTTCATAAGTGCTACTTTTTCAGATTAGTGTTGATGAAACCAATGACAAACGAACAGTTTAATGATAGATAACTTCCCGTGAAGATGCCTCTACCTAAGCGTGTTATTGAACCCGTTCACATTACGCGTGGAACCCTTCCTGAAGATTTACCACTTCCTTCTGAACTAGAAGGCGTTACAAATGGAACTTTAGCAAATACAGTTAGACAGCTATCTTCATTGTCCAGGTGAGTGGAAGACTCAATAACACGTACTGATATGCTCAGTAGCTATTAGTGTTTGCCGATGTATTCGAGATACTGAATTAAACAAATATTATTCTTTTGACTTTTTCTGAATTCTCACTGGCTCATAAAATCTCATGATATAATTAGTTGCTAAAGAGTGACAAGTGATTTTTGCGGACACCCTGCATATAATATAAAGTTTCAAATTTATGGATTCTGTTTAAGCATAATTCATAATTCGTACTGCATATCAATGTTTGCGTAAAAGTTCTATAATATATTTTAATTTCAGACATGCTGAAGATCTATTTGGTGAACTAGCTCGTGATGCTCAACAACTGAATGATCGGTCAAATTCTCTGCAAGCTAGAATTGACCGATTGGCAGTAAAAGTTACTCAACTTGACAGCACAGTAGAAGAAGTCAGTTTGCAGGATATTCATATGAGAAAAGCTTTTAAAAGTTCCACCATTTTTGACCAGCAGGTAAACACATAGTTTGTATTTTGTGACTACACTTATTTATTGATTTATTATTGTAGATATTCTCACGTGCTACAATGCCTACTGCTATGCAAGAAACATATAATTCCTGTGACCGACCACCGCCGCTGGACAAACTCAATTGCTACAGAGACGATGGTAAAGACGGCCTCAAATTTTACACTGATCCTAACTACTTTTTTGAGTTATGGAGAGCGGAAATGCTAAATGACACTGAGAAGGCTATTCACGATAAAGGAAGAAATAAGTGTGTTAATTCAAAATCTAAAGTCGTTCTAGAGTATTTTTTTCATTACTTTATTATAGAGGGCATAGAACTGCTCGAGGAACAGCTGACGGTGGTCAAGGAGGCAGAGGACACAAAAAGAGAGTAAGGCAACCCCATAATACCAGAGAAAAACATAAACAAATTGCAACTGAGCATGGGGAATACATTATGCCACAGAACACAATTTATAGGTAAGCAAGATTATTTATGCTCAACACTCTTTAAATTATATAACTTAAGCTGTATTAAAAACTTTCTCTTGGAATATTTGTATTGTATTTGTTTTGTTGATCATTAAATTAACTAAGAAACGTATACTCAAAAAATTTATTTTATTATTTGGTTTTGATTTTTAATATTGTGTTTCATTAATATTGATTTTTTCTTAGAACCCCACAACAAGTAAGCAACCATTATCAGCACGAAGTAGATGGTTTCCCTCCTGACCAAGAACAGTTAGTTCGCCGACCTAATTCCATAGAGATTCGACGATCGTATCAAAGAGAACAAGAAGTATCCGATGTGTTGAGCCCACCTTCTCTCTATCAGAATAACAGCCGCGTTCTTAATTACGAGGATCATAACCCTTATCAACATGGAATGTACGGACAGGGGCCTCTGAGGTATGCACTAGTCGGTTTTTACTATTTTTTAGTTCACTTATTCTGTCTTGCAACTCTTAAACTACTATTTTTGTAAACTGCCTTTCTTATATGAGCCCACAGAAAAAGTCAAGTGGTGTCAAATCGGGAGACCGAGTTGGCCATTCAATTGTCCCCTGCGACAAAATTTATCAGGAAATGTTTCATGAAGATATATTCGTACTTCGCATCGAAATCCCATATAGTATCATCGTTAATATTCTAATACGCTCAGTTTCACTTAAACGTGCCATTTTAAAGCTCAAATATATATATATAGCTATATAAAACGAATTTTTGACACTCCAGTCAATTATGTATACTGTTTAGGACAAAAGAATGATTTGGCGTTGTTATAGTGATCTAAACTTTCTAAGATTACTTGATGAGCAGTGTTTTTATATAGTTTATTAATCATTTGGCGCATTACATCAAAACATCATTTTCAGAACTCGATATCTCCAAAACGGTTAAATTTAATCATGTAATGTATTAGGGGATTTTTGTTTAGAACGTGGAGAAGAATTTACTTATTGAATAAAATGCAGAGTGTTCCATTAGAAAAAAGGTAACATTGCGTTCTGTGCCTTTTTGACTCATTCTATATAAAAGTGTGTATCCATACATAAAAGCGACCTTGGATAATGTTCTCGAATGTGTAACTGTGGTTTTGTTTATGGGTATTAAGAGTATTAATTCGTAATGCCTTTTGTGCTCAAAATTGTATAAGGTTTTCTTCACTGCTTTTAGCTATTTCTTCATCGAGTCGAAACCTTTTGTTGTTTTTAGTTCAGAATCACTCTATGCTGGCGGTACCCCAACGCGATCCAAATCTCGACCTAGTCAGCCACCACCAGCGCCGCCTTCAAATCAAAGTACTCCCACGGCAGGAACGCCAACTAGATCACGGGGCTTCTCTTCAGCCCGAGATCAATTACCTCCACCACCGCCTCCACCTGAAGCCACGTCACCACCACCAAATGGATTGCCACCACATATGATGCAGGTATGGTGTGTTTATTAAATGTAAATGCACTGCACAAAATAGGTTTATTATTAAAGTTCGTGAAATGCTAACCATTTTTAAGGTATGTACCATGGACGCATCTTATATTGCTGTATTGTTTTCAGCAACGAATGCCTGAGAGCCCTCACCGTTCGTCTGTCTCAACGCCAGAGCCTCCCCTTACATCTCCACCAAGCAATCACATCCAAGACTTGCCGCCTCCGCCTCCCGTTCCTACCGAACAAGTTTTACCTACGAGGCAAACTTCGCCTCCTAAGCAAAATAACAACTCTATGAACCTGAATTCTGGAGTTGCCAGTCCGCATCTTTCAGTCGTTGCTGCACCTCCGCCACCACCACCGCCACCTATGCCGATGAATAGTGTGCAGGCTCCCCCTGGAGGTCTGGTGATGAATGGCGAGTTAATCAGGGCTTTGTCGAGTCTCCCGAAACTGACTCCCGTCAAAGATCGTGTTTTAGGGAAATTAGCGCCTCCGTTAGCTGATCCACGGAACGATTTATTAAAGGTAAGAACTACACCTATGTGTTTAGTATTTTAAGAAGAGTATGGGAGCTGTTACAATTTACGTAATATCAATACATACGTCCAGATAGCATCTTTTTGTTTGAGATCCTAAAACAATATGAATAGGTTCGACTTTCAATAGATTTTATACCCAAATTACACCACTGTGAACAGAGTTTTTTATATAAATATTATATTATATAGTAAAATTCTTTTCAGGCTATCAGAGATGGAATAAAGTTGCGCAAGGTCGAAAAAAGTGAACAGCGCCAAGAAGTGGACCGAGGAGTGAATGGGCTTCACGATGTCGCCAGTATTTTGGCCAGACGAGTTGCGGTCGAGTTCAGCGATTCTGAGTCAGGAAGTGATAGTGAATGTGACTCAGAGGGATGGGGTGAAAATGAAACTTCCGCGTGACATCTAAGAAAACCAAGTGAGGTTAGCCAACAGGCTTATTGAACTGAAGAATCGTTATGTAAGTATGAATGTTGTGTGCAACAGTGTCTATATTTTACTTCAGCTGGAATTTCTGGCTACATATTCGCTAAGATGATCAAATCCATTCGTGTTTCGACAAAACAAATATTCTAGTGCGAAAAGCCAGATTTTACAAAATTAATTAAATTATTCGTGTATCTATGGATTATGATCTTGGACTGGAAATTTTCAGTTCGTCGTATTCATGTACTATAACCCTTATTCCTAATTGCACTTTTAATTCTGTACAATCATGTTAATAAATATTTATGGTCCACGGAGCAAAATGAATAATTATTTTCAATTATAAGCAACCTCCATTATTTACGTAGTCGACTATTTTTCTTGTAATTAAAAGCTCAGTATGATTATTGCAACTAAAATCCGCTTTAAGTAAAATTGATGTTAGTTAGCTAAATGTGTTTCGGGTCCTTTGTTCTTTATCATCTATTACTGTGCGTGTCTAGATTCAATTGATTCGTTTTCAAAATTTAATCTAAAACAATTACGATATCTCCTAACTCAATCGGTATAGACATATTTTAATCTTGCACAATTTTATTTCAAAAATTCTGTTCAAATATACAGGATGTATAAATATGTTCATCTAAAAATATACAGAATGATTCATTGATAATGTGAAATCCATTCAAGATGCCGCAAGTTAAATGATGACTGGGCGTAAACATCCTTCTTACGAAAGTTAATTGCTTTGCACACCCAGGATATTTACTTTTTTGTTCGGAAAGTAGATTTTACTATTTCTAAAAGCATGTATGTTCGGTTAAAGTATAAATTCGCCCAAGTACGGTTTAGTAAGGAAAATAAGTAATTGTGCCTTATGTGTGTTTTATTACAAATTGAATTAAGTCCTAGTGGTACCGACGCTCTTAGCACACTCATATCGATATGTTCTGCTGGTTGAACAATCAGTTTTGGTACCGCATTCTTTGGGTTAGTTTGGGTCTAAATTTTAAAGAGTCGTGCTTTTGATTTAGAGGCGCACAAGGTAAAAATAAATGCTTATTCAGAGTTGTACAACTGAACCATTGTATTTAGTCAGAGATCAAATACAGTGGAAATTGAAACTGTTTCGGTACCCTCAAATGTCTAAAGTTTAAATAAGTTACTGCAAATCTGATGAAATACTTGCATATGTAAAAGACGCTTTAATGTTAAGTAGTATAATTCCAAATAGTGTATGCCAAATCTACAGTATTAAATTTCTCATAATAATGGTAACAGCTTTTTTAAATAATTTATTGTACATAATGTACGACTATTCCCTATTTAACCTTTTTGTACAGCCTGGTATTTTAATTTACATATTATATGTGGGGAACACTGTTTTTGTTCTAAGCGTTGCAGATTTATCTTGTATAGACCATTAAGTAACGTGTACTATTGAAAAATAATCTTCTAATAATTTGATTGTGTAATTTTCTTAAATACATGTAATGGTAATAAAGTATCGTAATAAAAGTAAAATTATGATACAATGTGTTGAACTTACTTTTATGAATTTCATCAGCTTAGTTACATTAATTTTCCCAAAAGATAGACTATCTAGGCACTTTTTTATTATTTTGACCTAAGGAGAGAAATATAACTTCTCACTAAAGAAATGGAATAATAATGGTGGTCAATAGTTCAAAAAATGCTTTATACGGTTTCCTACGTTTAATTTGTGTTCGCTATATGTTTGTCGGAAATGGGGCTCACTGCTATTGAGCACTTTAGTTAAAGTACTTAAAGATTAAATGACACGATAATTTCCTTAATTGTTTGGAATTTGCTTTACTAATTTCAACCGACACCATGGCTCAATCAGATTCTGCTTATTGGACAAATTCACAGAGACAATGAAAATGTGTCCGGAATGTAAGTTTTATCAAAATATGTTTTAGAACAAATTGGCAATTCTTAGTGTTGTTAAATTTTGTAAAGTTTTTAAATTGGCTCTTACCAGAACACGTCGCCCCTTTCCTGCCGATATACATTTTTTGGCTAAACTAGATTCAACTCGAAGTGAGCATCTAACGAATTACTCAGTACTGAAAACTACCTCAAAAAAGGCAAAAGAATCTGCCATGAATAAATAATTGAGCAAATTACGCATCAAAATCTCAGTTGATAATTATTTTTATATACAGGGTGATTCAAAAGTGGCGTCATTCCTTTGGAGGTGTTGTCTGGCGGTGTTTTAGGAGTACAGAAAAAATAGTGAAAAAATTAATTGTTATTAAAAACTGAGAAATTTGCAAAAAACTATATTAGAAAAACGGCAACAATGTTTTTCAAGGTAATGTGCCGAATTAACTTGATACATATCTGAAAGATGTGGTGCAAAAAGACATAGTACCTAAAACATTTTAACTGATATAAATTGTTTTATTCAAAATTATTCTTAGAAACTGATTGTACAAAGTTATGATGATGCAGCCGGGATTATCATTAATTATAAATGTATTTTTTGCTTATAACATACATTGTTATGTTCATCAGTTAAATTCAATTGTCTTTTTTTTGACTCGGAAGTAACTTGGATAAACTTTTACAGTGGAATAAGCGCTCAATGTTTTTCTAAACGGCCCCAAAGAGTTGTAAATAATTTACATGTATTATATGCTCAAAATAAAAAAAACTTATGCTCAAAATAATAAATATTCTTATTTTCATTTTACTTAAATGGATAAAAATCTAGCGTTTTTTATGTGTTCTACCCATATACTTTTACAACGAGTATATGGTTCTACCCACAGAGAAAGTAAAATATTTTATTTTACTTACTTTATGGTTCTACCGCTTTCACAGTTCTTGACCTGGCAACGCTGTTTGAGACACCATGTGCCTTCTTTTTGCAGTACATAACCCTATTCTTAGTGTGATTATTGAAGTAATTTTGTTAAGTGTTTTTTACTGTTCTTTATTTCGAAAATGAAAGCCAGTGGAACAGTTTCGATTAAGCCTAGTGCTGTGAAAAATGCACTTCAAGGTGTAATAAAAGTAGCATCCGAAAATCCACATCTTCAAAAACAATTGTTTCATGAAGATTTTCCACTATTTCTCCAAATAAATGCATTCAAGATTCCTAAGTCTCGAGGGACCAACAAGCAAGTATATCGCATTCCTTTGGCTAATTCTCCGTTAAATTCAGATGCTGATATTTGTCTGATTGTTCCTGATGTGAAAGGTATTCCAAATAAAGAGCATGAAAGACATGTGGAACACTACGAGAAACTATTAGAAGCCAAAGGCGTTACGGGGATCAAGAAGATTATGACTTTTCATGAGTTTAGAACTGAATACGAGACATTTGAGCTGAAGAATCGGTTGGTCGATCTTTACGACCAGTTCTTGGTCGATGGTAAAATCAGTGGAAAGGTCGTTCATAAATGCGGCAGTATTTTCTACAAGAAGCGGAAAGTCCCTATTTCCATCAAGCTTCAAGCAACAAATTTGAAATCAGAATTTGAAAAAGCATTAAAAAGGACATTTTTCCTCCTGAGCTGGAAAAGTGATAGCCATGCTGTCCAAATTGGAAACAGTAAAATGAGTATCAAAAGCTTGACCGAAAATGTGTTTAGCATAGTACAATTTATTGAAAAGGAGTTCCCAGGAAAAATGGACAATGTAAGGAGTTTGAATATTTATGCATATAGAGGCTCAAGTGTACCCATATACATTTCATTGAGTAAGTACTTACTTTTTACATCTTTACTCCTGAATCGAATATATCATTTTAGAAGCTACTTTTTAAGTAAAATAACTAAATTTGATGTCATGATTGTCGGTTATTTAAATTATCAATTTACGGCGATCGATGGAAGTAATGTTAGTCAGAGTAAAGTCCAAACTTAATTTTTTTATTAAATTTCCTGTATTGAGGAAACAAATCTAAAACCTTTTATAGGGACTAGTTCTTTGATTTGGTTTCACTTTAAATACAAAAAGTTTTATTTTATAATTCGATTTGTTATTAATTTTTTAAATAAAGAAGGTGCCGTTTGCCTGTGGTCCGCCAGATAATGACTAGAAGTCGGACACTTTCCGATTGGTTATTTAATTCCACTGATCATGAGTTTAGCGGAAGAATTACAACACACTATCCGCTGTTGGTTTTAAATAATAGCAGAAATAAATGTGCCTTTCTATCTACAGGAAATCCAAATGAAATTCAAGTGCCCGAGTTAGCTATAAAAAAGACTCCAAAGTTGAAGACTGTTCGCGGGGAATTAACCACTTTCAATAATGCCGATGTTGTTGTTAGACCTTCCGGGAAAGTTATTGTAAAACATCTGAAGAACACTACTGAAGTTGTTAAAGAAGTTGAAGATGTTACAACTGAAGAGTCAACTGAAGCAGGTTAGAGAGCATTTTTATTTAATAATTAGAGCATTCCAAATATAAAAATAGCTGATATACAATGTCTGGCATGCAATAAAAACAACCAATACATAAAATTGTTAACGTTTAGAAATGATAAGTGTGTATAGTAATATCCATCAATCTAAAGCGATATCGGATTATTGATATAATTTTGATTACAAGAAATATTTGTTTTAGGATACGAAAAACAGAAGGGCAAGAAGCGAAAGTTATCAGAAATGAAATCGGGAGGAACCAAGAGAAAACAGTCCCCAAAAAAGAAAGTAGTTTAGTGTGTTAAAATGTTACATTTTAACGTATATTTTTGAGCCGAGTTTATGACTAAACGCAGTAAAAAAATATGATTAATCGTTAACAAAAGATAAAGAAAGTTATATTTGTAAGGGATGAAAATAAAGAATAATGCACCTTTAACATTATTTTATTGAATTCAATGTCCCGTTTAAATTAAACATGCTTTCTAACATGGTTTGCATTAATGGGATGACAAGAAAATAATGAGAGCAAACTCGATTTACGAAGATAATTTAATTAGAAAATAAATAATACAATGTTAACAACCAAAATATAAAACTATAAAACGTCAAATATAGTGCAAACAAAATTGAAGAAATCGTACATTTCCTGGGAAAATGTGATTCGATAACATGTAGGAGCAATCGTAATTGCTGAAAAATTATTGACAGATCCTTCAATGCAACAATTGTTATAAGGACGAAGAATGGTCTTCACAATAGAAACAGCAAAAAAGTAATTTCAAAAATTTCAAATCTAACCGGAAGTTTCGAACGTTACTTTTTACGCTCAGTATATTCTGTGCTAGAGCCTTTCTGATAGTACTTATACTTAATATATCAATGTAGGTAGGAATTCTACTGAGTTACTATTTAAAATCTTTCTTATTCAGCTAAAATAGCTTGTATACTGAAAATAATAAACTTGAAAATCTAGGAAAATTTCGTATGATGAAGTAAATATTCAAGATATAATGAAATTAGCATAAATGCGTATTCTGCGTCTCTGGTCTTTGGCGCCTCGCAAACGACCATTTTTTTCAAAGTTTTTAATAATAGTTGTATTAAGTGATATTCTTGTAATCCTCCAAATTTGACTTAAGTACTTGCAGACGATCTAATTAAAGTATTGTCAATAATTATTCCGCAAAAACTTGTAACCTGGAGTATTATATTTCATGAATGTATACGAAACAATAAGTTTTCCAATTTACGGTGATTTGTCTGCAGGATTTCTACCCGAGTATTTCCTACAACTGAAGTGACAGATAATAAAAATTTGCAGGCAGTTTGCCGATTTCACTAAAACCGCAATTATACGAGTTACTTTTCGCAAGAATGTTTGACATTGTTAAAATATCAAATGTACATACATTTAATATCAACTGTACAATGTGACTTATAATATAATTATTAAAAAATTGCAACAATTTTACTAGAGATACATAGTATCGATTTGCAAGCTCAACTTATAATTGCAGGATGTTAAAAGATTAGTCAATTTTCCAGGTTTAATAAGGAATCGTTGATAAATTAATCACCGACGATGTTTGAGAACATATTTAAATTTGGTCCCTGAATAAATGTACATTATCTCACCAGTAGTACAATCGGGTAAATTTAGGTGTTTTCCAATTTATAAGAGTAAGATATAATTTATATCCTATATCTATAATATTAAAACATTAAATTTAACAATTCTGTGTTACGTTGATCTGTTCGGCAATGTCGAAATGGAAAACTGAAGCGCCGACTATGAAAGCCTTCCGACAGACAATCATAGACAACAATAGTTCATGTGTGAATAATGTTTTAACATCCCGAAGTAAATTACATGTGGGTTATAACAGGTAAAAACATCATATAATATGTTCATAATAAAATCCTAATAATTAAAACAACGTAAATTCATGCGTTTTACCAACATTGCTTCAATATGAAGGTTAAATCTTAACCGATTAAAACTATATCTTTAAATGTTATATGTCCGAAAATACGATATAAACAAAATCATATATACAGGATAAGTTTTTTCCATGACTAGTAGAGGGCTCTTGGAAACTACGGCAGATACGAAAAACGTCCAAACTCCCTAAAATTATAACTACAAGTTAAGTAGTCATTTGACATTGGTGTTTACAGTGATCTGATCGTGATTTGTTTTGTTCTAAATAACATTGAAATTGAAACAGATCGAAAAGTGTGTAAGTATGGTTTTATATTAAAAATGTCATCAACTCCATTAAATAATAAGTCTCAACTGTCATTCGACAACGAGTAATTTGACGTTTCGTAGCACCTTCATCGGTAGTTGAATTTGCGAATTTTATTTTTCTAAAATTTGACAGCTGTCAGGAGATGACTGACTGGTAAACTGATTTATGACAGATTTTTTAATGACTTGTAGTTCCGTCAATATTAATCTGACAAATTAAATTAAATAGTTATAGAAAATTGCATTCAAAAGAAAATGGCATCGGAAATTTCTACAAATTAACTGACATTTTTAAAAAAAGAAAATTGTTTCGGGTAGCGGATACAAGACTACAATTCTTTGTTCATTTAACCTTTTTTTTGTCTACTGTAGTTTCCGAGATCCCTGTACTAGTCATCGAAAAAAACGCACCCTGTATATGTATATATAATATATGAAAATTGGCGACATTCTTCTTCGAGAGATTGGTTTATCGGGACTGACAAGAAATGGAAAGCGAATTTTAATCGATCCTTCTGCGAATAATTAGCCCGTAGGTATAACATGCTTTGTATTCAGCTACCTGTAACTGTCGTGGATAGTAACAGTGTGTGCGTATGTGGCTTTATCAATTTATTAGTCATTTTCTTCAATCTTTTTAAGTAATTTTGTAAATATCACATTTTAAACATAGAAATAATACTTTTCATACTGTTTTACCAGTTGTATGCAACCCCCAGAGATATGCCGCCAATTTTAACTCGCCCATAACGTATACAACTTTATAAGACGGCGCTAAGTGTTACGTAATGTATATTCAATACATTACTAATTGTTAATCTGCAACGTGTCCCAATGATCAGAGCTAATACTTAATAAACACCTATAATAGACTCGCCTTCAACAAAGAAAAAATGTATAACTAAAGCCGCTTTCTTCGGGCATTAAAGACGTGAAAATGGCTGTAACTTTATTTAAAATGTGCTAGATTTCCCACTTTCTAACTTACATTATCCTTTTCATCAGAAGTCAAACTAGACTTTAATTCAACGCGGTGCCATTAGATTTATTCCTAGTTCCTTTATAATCTGAATCTTGACGTAATTTAAAAAACTAAACAAATTCGTTACTGGACATTTCAACTAAGTTAAACCATAGGATTGCTCTCCTTTCATTTGGCAAGAAAAAATCTATCACTTGGTTGTTGTGCAAATGCTTCGCTTTCTTATCTTCACTATTAAAAAATGTAGATGCAATTACATGTAGGATGTCTAATTTGCTACTCGTTATTTATTAGCGTCCACTACTGTTTACCCATTCGGTGAATATACCAGTTCGGTGAACTGACTTAGGAGCAGTTGATCATTTCAATATTGTAACCAAAACAATCTTTTACAATAGAGTAAACCTCTGTAGTGTTGTTAAATTCAAAGAAGTATCTTGAAGCAAGAATATACGATATTAAGACTGACCCAAATAGAAGTGTTGTTTCGAGGAACTGTGTAAGAATTAGCATATGAATGAATTCTAAGGACGGTCGTCCAGTTAGATAAGCGAGTCAGATTTGTCTTGTGTGCTTATATAGACAACTAGTAGACTCGAACTTTGCGCTTCTGTGCACATGCAAAAAAAATTGTAAAAATAATATCAATAAATTGCGATTCGTTTCGTTGCGCCCGCTATATTTTAGTGGACACATCTTACCATCTACGAAAAGAAAAACCTCTGTGCACTTTCAAATTCAATAAATTATTCCCATATTGGGCCGAGATTTTTAGCGCTTCTCTGGATGAACCAGAATAGGAAAATCAAAACCCATTAAATAACTAAATACTGACCATTTTCTATGATTTTATGGAAAACATAGCCAATATCGCCGCGCATATTTTCTGTGCATTAGTTTCATCGGGATACATTTGCATTGCTTGTATAACTTGTTCTTCCGGAAATATTGCTGCTAAATGATAGTGCAGTTTTCTTCGAGCATCTTCTTGCGATCCAATCGGATTCCATTGGCCAGGCCACACGTTCAGCTGAGAATCAGAACAACTGGACATGCGGTGCATATGGCCAACTGATGGTGTTTGCTGAAATGCATCAGAATAGTAAATTTTATACATCGAATCATACTGTTTGCGCCAAATAAACAAAAATTGCTCAAACCAGTGGCGTGTGTACCTATAAATAATATAAAATACGCCTATCAGTTTTTTTCTTAAAATTTTTGATTTCGTTGTTCATAATGGAAAAGAAAAAACTTTTTTTGGGCTCACTTGGCGAGTCGAAAAAATTATTGAACATTTTTGTTCGAAAATTTCTAGAAGCACTATCATTTATCAGTTACAAAAAAATAACAGTTATCAGTTGCAAATCGAATTTCAACTCTGTTTTTAAGTATTATTTTGAAATGGTCCCATGTTGAGAATTGCATTGACGATACCATAATTAGTATATTAAAGATCCCACTGTCATTTTCAATACCCAAAATGAGAATTTGGTGTACAGAGAATGTTTCAGTTTATGTATTAGACAACTTTCATATAGAAATTAATAATGTTAATGTTGATAACTTACTCCATGTTGTGGTCCGTGCAATCCCGACCATCCAGCAGCCTGAGTATTTTGGGCACTCCTGTAAGAATCTGGAGCACTCGCAATCCTAGTTACACCCTGGTGAACTTCCCACCCGGAAGAACCCAAGTATCCACCGGAAGTACCAACGGGGCCGGGACTTAATGGTGCGAAGCGTCTAGAAGCTAATCGAGGATCGGCTCCTGGGTTCAACGTTAATTGTCTGGCAAGTTTTCTGTGGAGGTTCTCGGAAGATGGCGTTTGGTAAGAAAAATTACTCATAGTGTCCTTTTCAGGAGTCGATTGGAATCCGAAATTGTCAGTTATAGGTTGATATTGGCCGGATTGGGTGATTACTCCTACGTTGTCTACGCTGCGGGACTTTGAAACTATTGTGTGTTGCGGTTCTTTAGGAGGTGGAACATTCGATCGCGTACGGCCTAGAGGATTCTTGCGAACATCGGAACCTAAACGATATCAAATACATTTTCATATTCAGTAGGGTGCCAATATTTTTTAAGTGTTTGTTCAATTTGGGAACCAGTTATTCGACTCCCAAGAAAGCAGGAAAATGTTTATTTCGGTATTTCGTTTTTGGGAAACTACCTATGAATAACCGTTGGAGTTTTGATGAATGGCCTGCAATTGCCCAACAACAATCTCGAAAAAGGTTCAAATCAAATCTTAAAAGGTTTGATCAAACTTGTAGCCTGAACCAAATGGAGAGATACGTTTTCAATAGAAAGCAATTGAACAATAATTGTCCAGAAAAGCGAATAAAGCAATCGACAGTTAGTACATGCAAGTGCAATAACTGTTATGTGATCAATCTAATGTCGGTCCAGATTGGGGGCTGCGGTTTTGTAAGTGCAAACAATCTACTAATCCAGTTGAAAATATAATAATGAATATTTCCTCGGGCGCGTCAACTTTAACATTAAATGAAAAAGCGATCGAAGAACAAGAGTATCGCCAACATTGCAACTACTGGGCTACAGAAAACCTTCAATAGATGAGGGTTTATGTGTAATATCTACAGAACATTAATCTACGTACCGGAATGGCAAGAATTAAAGCTTTTTCGAAGATAATCTACATTGTTTCAGCTAATTTAAGTGTTTACTGAAATATTTGTTCCTCTAGTGAGCAAGTCATATCCATCAGTTTCAACAAAATGAAGTTTTTACTGTAATATCAACCTAACTCACCATCTTTATTTTCTCTGGCTTGTAAATGGCGCTGTGCGTGTTCAGATAATCGCTCGGTAACGCTCTTATGTGGTAAGGGTCCCCGTTCCGGATGGTGATATTTACATTTGTTGCCATAAGTACATTTTTTGCCATACGGACATGGTGGTGGTGGTAAAGTTCCCGACACATCACCCTAAAAAGCAGAAATTTGCAATTTTTAACAATCAATCACCGCATTATGATTATTGCAAAATTACCTTTCTAGGCTGTCTGCGCAAAAAATTATCTAATGTTGGTCCAGCTCTGCCTAGCGGATCATCGGGAGGCATAAAATGGTCATTTACAAAAGAGTACATTAAAACTCTTTCCTCCACTACTTTCCTGAACTCCGTGCTTTCTTGGCAAAGATCCCTAATAAACAAGTCAAGGTTCGTCCCATGAAACGCAACAAAAGTTCAGATTCAAACCTGTAATTATCATTGCTCACAACAATTCCGTCAGTCTGCGATGCAAGCTTTAAAATATATCGGTCATCGTAGCAAACCATCCGTTTTCCACCAACTAGTCGCGAGGGTGTGAAAACCAACAGCCTGTCTCTTTCCAGTTCAGCCAAAATGTCTTGTTCTCTCACCGGGTTGTCCGGACGAGGGGCTTCTTTCCGCCATTTCGGCACGAATACTGTTATATCTTTATGTCCACGAACCTACAAAAATACAAAATATGTCATATACAAGCAAGGATGGATTTAACAGCGTAGCAAGCAGGTATTTAAATAAACCAAGTCGCGGCTAAAAGTGCTAACAAATGAAGCCAAATATATTTGGGTTTTTCTCTACGGGGTGATTCACCTCTCAATCGGATAAAAATTACTGTTACCATTAAATTGTTGACTAATAAAACATGGCAATGAAACAAGTCCTTTTTTCAGGAAAATATGCTATTTATGAATTATTGTTATTCAAATTAAAAATATCAGAGTGGTTCTGCTCTTGGTAGTCGGGAATAACAGACTACGGTCTCACTAGAGAACGTTTTGGACGGCCACAATACTCAACGACTCACAATCTTCAGGCGCGTTATGTTTTATTATGTTTATTGGTATCCGCTCCATTTTTCAGCATTAAAAAATAGATGGATAAACTTAAAAGGCGAAAACTTAGTTGGCATGAACGACCTACCTTAAACCAATCAACACATATCTTAATTCCGCGGCATGAAAAAATTTCCTTGTTACCATGGCTCATAGCAACATTACTACCATCTATAACGATGGGTCTTAACGTTGATGGGCCAGTTTCGAGAAGTTCAAACCTAAAAAAAAACAATTTCCTAGTGTACTAATATACCAAAAACTTCGAAAAAAGCAGCTTCATGTTTGAGTCGATTTTGTCACTCAAAAAAAAAGCTTGCAAATCTAAAACTTCCTGAAATCACGACTTTTTTGAGAAAACTGACCACATTTTCTTATCGATGGTTCACTTTCTGAAAAGGCCATTTAGTTCTCTCTGGAATGATGTAAGCATGAGCGTTCTTGCTCATTTTGCTTTCGAGAAATGAGCAATGACAATAATAAATAATCTAACTAATTCCAGGGCATTTAACACTCAAAGCTGTACCGGTTGAAACACACTTACCTATCTAACAGTCCTAACTCACTAACGAGACTTTCAGTTGGGCTGCTATCACAAGAGCCACCTTTTTGGGCACCTAATTTAATTAATTCCGCCAAAAGTTCGTTTTGTGTCGGAGACGAACCCAGCTTCTGCAGGGCCGCCTGCACGTGTTTCTCTGTGTAGCCCAATTTAAGAGCAAACTCCACTCTGCAAATATACAAAACGAATAAATGATAACCACCAATAAATATAGATTGTCCCACTGGGAACCACCGCGATCGATATATGGATATATCGTCACTATGTGAACGAGCTTTTACATAGCTTATATATCATGATATATAAGTTGTGTCTTTACCATACCTGGCGTTATAACCTGGAGCGGTTCCCTGTACTCCTTGCACATATTCGGCATATTCGGCAGCTAAAGTATCACTGGTAGTCCGTGAAACGTCCTGATGACTACCGCACAATTGTCCCTGGCTACCCTCGTAGGCTTCGCAATCCGAATCATAACTAGAATCCTCGCCGGTGGCGGAACCTTTCGAGATATTGCACCCATCCAGACAGATGTCGTCTATGTATTTCTGAAATACGAACATAATGATATTTAATCAAACAAATTAGGTACATTTTGCTCGAGATAATAAAAAGTCGGTATGAGAATCAAGGACCCGGACCGAAACGAAATAACTGTTCCGTTCCGGTTTCGGTCCAAGGCAAAATTTAAAATTTCGGTTCCGTTACGGTTCCGGTTTAGAAAATAATTTCCAATTCGGTTCCGTTCCGGTTCCGTTTTTTTTCTGTTTATTTCGGTTCCAAATTCTATATATAACAACGAACGAAGACAATGATACTGTAATTAGGAATCCCAATATCTTTTTCCTTGCTTGTTGTATTATACAAGATAGAAGATGCGCAAACGATCCACTGCTTCATACGGTACTTCGGCTGGTTGTATGATAGGGGGTAGGAGTGTAGGAGGACTAACAACCCCACACAAGGATTGAAATTCAGGTAACATTAAATGGAATAACATTGCAATAAAGACTCCCATATAAAAATTAATTTAATCGTTGTATTTTTGAAAAGTGATTTGTCAATGAATTTTCTGACTTTAGCGCTTTTCTTTCCTTTCCGTTTTCTAGAAAGATCATGAGAGATTAATGATTAAGAAAAAACTTATTGTTTCCAAAGTATTTCAATAGATCAAGCCGCATTTAAGATTTATGGAACATTTTAGGAACAAAGAAATACAAGCAAATTAAATTAATTAAATTAACACAAATAACTAGCTTACATTACAAAGATAACATAGTTCGTCTTCATAATAAACAATTCAAGGAGGTTACTTCATCTTTTAACGGTAATAAACTGCTTTAAACTGCCCTAATAATCACGACAAATCTATCTACTAATCTGAAGAATAAATGCATTATTTTCAGTCGTGATATACTAAAAGTTATCATCATCAGAATAGTACACACTAGTGGTGTGAGTTTTGATTACTTTTGAATACTCGTCACGAATTTCTCAGATTTTTTAAGTTAATTTTTTTCCTATTTTTTCCGTACTCCTAAGCCCAGACAAAACATCCCGAGGAATTACGCCAATTTTGAATCACTCTGTATAGTATAAGGTACAAAAGTATCGAACTCTTAATATCAACTTTTGAAATGTAATACACTGTCTGAATCAAAGCTCTTGTTCTTGGACAAAATTTACTAATAAGATAAGCAAAAAAATGAAGACTTGCGGCCCAGTGCATATATGTATTATTATATTTGATTTCATCGCCCTAAGCTAGATGGTCATTTTAAGGCAGACAGAAGTTTCTGCTAGGTTGAAGTATTTATCTGTTTCTATAAATACTATTATGTCTAGACAGTTTGAGCACGTTTAAAGCAAACTTTCACATACTTAAAAAGCTTGCCTACTCTTATAAGCAATTTAATTAATTCCGTGTGGCAGAAAAGTTTCCAACTACATAATTCGAAATTTCCAATTACGAAGTAGGATTCCAATAAACAATACCAAGAACAGCATAATGAAGAATATGTTAGTGAACTCTATTATAGATATTCTTGACTGCTACCAGTAAATACATATTTCCAAAAATTCCTACACACCTGTATTAATCGGTTATTGTGCGGGTTGTTGCGATAATTAATGATGATCATTGGGTAACGAGATTAGTGCTTTATTCGACCAACATTTGCTTGTAAATTGGAAGGAAATATAAAGTAATGATTTAATATAATTGGTTTCTGAACCTTTGCACAAACATACACACGTACAAGAAACGTAAAAATAATCCGAAATTGATGGAAAGTAACAGAGTCGTGTAAAACTAATGTGAATATAGTCCCTTATCCCCATCAAAATAAATGAGGCCAATTTTGAATCACCGCAACTTAAAATATTCGAGCTATTTAATTGAAATTGAGTTTTTAGTAAAAGCTAAACTAAACGATTGTAAGTAATAGCGATAATTTATACTACGCACACTTTGCAGTTTCTGAACAATTTATTAAAATCGACAAAAACCAGTTGTTTTATGTACTTAGTTATTCATATTCCTAACTATACCTCTATTCTAGTAGACTAATTACTTGCATTAAATACACTCGATTGCAAGTAGTTGAAAGTATTTATTTCTCTCAATTAACCTCGCCGAAAGTAAATCCGATACCCGGAACTGCAAAATATGTTCGAGATTTGTGAAATCGATTTACTTAAATACAAACAACGGAAAAATTATCGGAATATCAATTGCGCATTAAATCAATTAATAAGAATAGCGGTTTTGCTCGATCGGTTTGTATAAATATAAGAGGTATGCAGCAAAAAAATTAACTTTTCATTAGAATTAGTTCAAATAATTCCGACCTGAAAAAAACATTAATTTAAGTTTAAAACGTTTCAAAAATCGTTTTTTATCATTATTAAATGCTATTATGTACTTATTACTACGTAGTAAATTCGTATACTACTTTCGGCATATTTTAATCATATTTAGGCCCACAAAATCACTCGGGGTCCAAGCGATAGAAATGGTTCATATTTAACATACCTAATAGTTTAAATAACAGTTCCCGACATGTAACCTGTTAAAGCTCGTTCACACGGTGACATTAATGTCGTTACGTGAATTCCGCATCAATCTCATGTGACATTTCTTGAAGGTTCTCAATCTTTGGCGCGATATTTCCATGTGGTTTGATTTTAAATTAATAAATAATGTTCCCTTTTGATTTGATTACATTTCTGGAATACTACCAATCATACCCATGTCTATGGGATAAATCAATTGCCGATTAAAAGAATAGACAAAAACTTTCCCTTAGTAGAGTTGCTGATGCCCCTAGTTTGTTTCTACGCATAATCCACTCTCATCCATACTAGTTCTTTAAATTTTCGCCTCAATTTAGAAATAGTTACTTCTTCTAACACATCCGCTACTGCAGACAGGAGTTCCGTCATTTTGACAAGACTATGTCGCGACACAATGTGTTGGTGAGTGTGAGCGCCTAGTTCAATGACATGGAATGTCGAAAGCTGTCACGGAATTAAATGTCACGACATCGATGTCACCGTCTGAACAACCCTTTACCGCAGTAATAGTTACGGAAATAACTATGGTTATTTTTGTCACTGTAGTCGTTAAGTAAGTAAGTGCGTAACTCTAAACTCTGACCCATATTTTGTTTTTACTTTCAGAAAATAATCCTTTCAGTTTCTAGTTAATTTGGTTTAGTCAATATTTATTTCTTTAATAAACAAAATCATTATTTGTTATTATTACTACCATCACCATTACGAATTTTGAATACAAGTTTATAAAGTAACCAGTATCAATTGCCACTAGAAAGGATTCCTACATCAGATCCAAATATGAGAACCAAATAAGATCTAAGATCCAACGTAAATTTACAACTGTAAAGTTCTGTGATAAAACGATTGCGAGTTTACATGTACACATGCATGATATAACTTATCATTGATTTAGCCATTCAATTGAAAAACAGAATTTTTAAACATTGAATTTATAGTTTAATCAGTAAAAAGGTATTTTTTCATGTTTACTTTTAAATTCTACCTCTAACATTACTGGTGCTCACGTAATTTTATAAAGTATGTTTTATAAAGGCACTGTAATATATGCTATTAAGCCATATTTTCTTCTATTTCTTTGTATTTAAACAAATTCCGTTTCTATATTTTATTCATGAAAAACCACGACAACTAAACATCGAAGCGAACTTTTAATGACAAACAAAATTAAAAAAATTAAAAACCTCTAGGCAATATTCTTAGAGGCATAGAGGCACAAAACGAAGAAGAAATTTTTTTTCACACTTAAAAAGTATCCTACATATTTTACAAACATGAAAGTTATATTTTGTTTTAACGTCTGCAATTTTATTATTGCTGCATAGATGTAATAAATAAAATTGTTTCTTATACATTTTTTAATAGTTTGAAGCGCAATTAAGCATTTGAGTCAAACGCAAATATTATTTAGCGCACGTCGAACTCGTCGTTCTATTTACACAAATGATACCCGTGAAGTTGCTACTTGAATTCAATGAAATCATTGGCTGTTGCGTCAGAAAATATGTTTAAAACCTGAAATTTACCCAAATGGGGGACGGGGAACTAAAAACTTCAGCATAATATGATGGTCCTTGGTTTTGTACAAGAACATTACACATGCAGATTTAATGGAACCTGTAACGTGGATAAAAAGGATGTACTAACCTCGCCAAAAGTAACAGTCATATCCAGACAAATCGGGTCCAATAATTGTAAGCACATCTAATCCTGGGATTTCTATATTAACCAATGACATCAAGCATGTATTTTAAAACAATTGCCGACCGAAACAATCGTATTTCAATAACGACACATATAGCGCGATCACTTAAATAATTAAAATAAATAATAACTGTTCACATTAAACCAAAAATCTAAACAATACACAATGAATCGACCGGTATCTATTAGAGCTAATAATAATCGGCTTCTTGCAAAACGCGGATTGAGATCCGGTATCCTTCTCACTGAATGCCTGCAGTATAAGATAATTAGTAAGCACACCAATTATGACTTTAAATCACTGATTAACGTTTGTGGTTGGAATTAAATATGGTAATTTCAAGTAGGTAGTGGATGAACGTCACATATTTTATATTATCACAAAACACAAACGCGACGAACCGATCTACAAACTTGCAGCACGGAGAAACGTCGAATCTGTTAAAGAAACCACGAATAGTGGCGAAGAAAATGAAGATCCGGATAGCAAACCGGATGTAAAAGAGAAAGAGAAGCGCGTAGCCTTCTACAGGCCATTGAAATTGTGTAAATTTTCGGCGAGCGGACGGCACGGTGCTAAGCAAGGTGAACCAAACCGCGAGTTTCACTTCACTCGATAGCCGATATTCGACAACAAATGAATGAAAATATGAACCGGACCTGAGAGCGCTTCGATTGGTTACAGACAGTGCAATTTCGAACCGAAGACAATAATTATCATCGTTCTGCTGCGTATCCAACGATTTTAAGCAGTTAACACGTTACGATAAACCGACAAACAATAAAGCTTGAAAAATGAATATACATATAACAGAAACCTATGTTATACTTGTTTTGGATAATGATAACGATTAGTTTGCTTTGTACCTATAGTGACGTCTATACCATTCACATTACGTGAATTATGTGGATTTATGCGTAAAGCCCGTGTCGCATGCATCCGTTTGTACGATGATACGATGGTACGAAAGTGTTTCTATTGGTTGGAGATCTGTCAATTCGTCCGCCGTCGTACGAACTGACAGATCTCCAACCAATAGAAACACTTTCGTACCATCCTATCATCGTACAAACGGATGCACGGGACACGAGCTTAAAGCCCAAAACTCTACTCCCAAAAAAGTAGCAAATCACCTTAAAACGGAATATATTTAAGCAGCGCAGGAGAAGAATAAAACCGCATTCAATTGCGTATATTCATTAGGGCCACTCTTTTTACCACTGTTGAAAAAGCGTATTTACATTGATAAATCCTTATTTTTCCCTTAATTTAGAATCTCTTGATCAATATCTATCCGATTGTTTATCCATTTTTCAGAAAAGCCCGAGAATATTTCTATCGTAGTTACTTTATTGGCGGTCTTCCAAAAATCACGTACCGAAATTAACATCCGCAAACATCAAACTTATTTTCAATAATTTAGTTGGTATACCAAATATCAATAAGACGCACAATCTAATCCGAGTTCCAACGACTAAACGAAAATCAGAAATAATAACAATTACAACAATCGTTCTTCCAATTAGATAAAACGACATCAACGATAAAACAACATTTGAACGAAGATCCGGGATCCCACTTAAAATGAAAAATTCGTCGTTTACATTACGTCTATATCCGGGAGCAACATATATTGGAATCTAGACTGTTTGTATGCCAGCAGCGCTAGTAAAAATGGAGACAAACGTATCCATAATGCTAATAAAAATCGACATTTACTAATCTGATTAACACACATTTAAATATTCGGGACAAATAAAAATATTCTACAAAAACATAAGACATATTATAAAGAATTATCAGTTTCGTTGTGTGCTCAATTTACACCACTTAACACACAATTAAAATGAGCCTTACAATTCGATTCTGCAGTAATGTAGCTAATTAATTGTATTTTATTTTACCCCTTACCGGTGGGAGAGATGGACCAAATATTATTTAAATACTTTTTGCATTTGGCAACATCTCCGCCGGTTTAATAGAGAAATAATCAGGCAAACTGAAAGAATACCTACTACTTTTCCAAACAACCATCAATTTCAGTCGATATTTTTAAACCTAAAGCTCGTAAAGCCAGTGTCCCATGCATCCGTTTGTACGATGATGCGATGGTACGAAAGTGTTTCTATTGGTTGGAGATCTGTCAATTCGTACGACGGACGAATAATTTGAAAAAAGTGGTCCAACTATCCCTGCTTTACCCTACAGTTACTGAAGCCTTGATATTTAAGAAGCAACAGATATTTACGTAATGTTAATGAGGCAGATTACGTTGAAAAACATTGTTGCCATTCTTCTGATCTACTTTTTGGCAAATATCTCAGTTTTTGATCAGAATTATTTTTTTTACTATTTTCCTTGTACTCCCTAACCACCCCTAGAACACCGACGCCAATTTTGAATTACCCTGTATACATTTTAAAAGCTTTGAAAAAATAAGTCAATTTTGCTGCAACCAGTCCCGGCATCCTTTACTTCGAAAAACCTCTATTTTAAAGGAAGCCAGCATGATTTTGTAAAATTTGCAAGACTGAGCGGTCTTTCTTGCGTCAATCAAGTACGATAGTCAGGAGCAAAAATTACATGTTGTGTTACTTATATCGCTCGCTTGTGGCTATGTGCCTATATGTTGAGAAGTTCATATAATTGAGAAATAAATATACTATAGACGTATAAACGTTTTAACCTTGATAGAGATCTTAAATAACAAAGGGATAATAGGAGTCTTTACATAATGGGCCTATTTCGATGCGAATCTGAGACAAAATAATGGACTAGTACACACAGGTAGTTGGTTAAGTCCTTAAATAGTGTTTTGTCTGTCACCACAAATAAATGGTATTCAACATAGTAATACGCAAAAGGTGTATTAATTTCGTGGAATCATTTGAGGCAGCAAAAACCTTTAAATTTAGTACCTACTTGTCCTCATTTAGAAGTAGACATATATTTCTAGATCAGTTCTTTGACTTACCTGAATCCTAGTAATTAGATCGGCGCTTACGGACCTAGCAATATCTTCGCCACCAGATAATAGAACATTATAAACTACAATATTATCACTAGGCCTGTTTTTTTCTTTTAGCACGGCCGCAAAAAGCACAAGAATCCTCTCCAAGTTTTCAATGAGTAACGAAACGCACTTCGATTTAATTGTCACAGTCCCGATTGCGTTGCCTGACATTTTCGTAAATGCCCATTCTTACATTATGATAGCATTTACGAAAAAATTAAAATGTGTTATTAAATGGGCAAAACTGTGAAAGTTTATTTTGGATATATTTAATCATTTCCGTAATGATGACATTTTTACTATTGACAGATCACACAGCCATCATGCGGGTAACCAACGAACTAGTTGCATAATCAGAAGATTGTCTGCTGAAGAAATCTTGCTTGTTAGACAAAGCGCATTGTAGCATATTTCCATATATAACACCTTATCTAATTTTTATGTTTAGCAGTAGTGGCAACATGTATCAGACACAAATATGTGTGCAGTTAAATACACTATTTTTTTGTTTTATTAATACAAATTGTGCGATTAACCGCTGTCATAAAATGTCAACGCTGCTGGATACGAAAATACGAACCACAAGAAGAGGAACAATATTCGGCGTTAAATATATTTAAAATAATAAAATAGCTGTTATCAGTATTTGAAAATTATAATGCTTGACAAACAATGTATTTTTAATTATAATATAATTTTGTTAAAAATTATTTTCGCATCCTAACTTCATATTAAGTATACATATTGTAAAAAAACCTAACTACGACGTTCTTATAGGTGGCGAGACAAGGATTACTCCATCTCCACGAACAAAAAGCATAGGTATATTTCTTTTGGTGGACTTGTATACCTCTTCATATGTTTCCTCATCAATCTCCACGGTGGTGATTGTTTCTTCGACATCACTAAGAATCATGTTCATGTGTTGATCATAGGCCTGCAAAAACGGAGGCAGTTTGTATTAAACGGTAAATTCAATAAGCACCCAATGTACGCACGTAAACCTTCCAAAAGATAAATTTGTTCAGCAGTACCGACTAGAACTTGTCTTTACTCATGCATAAAATAATCAGTCAATAAGTCAACCGTTTACACACAGGGATCAGCTTAAGTTCATTTAACTGATAATAAGTACATACTTTTATTTCAGAACTTGAGTTATTTTAAAAAACAATTTTTATTTCCAAATATAGCAATTTATTTGGGTCACACAAATGCAGAGCTACTATTGAACTATCTGCATATTAAAGATTACTTATACTCCGTACGCTATAACTATGGTCGCACGTCATCAATCGTGTATCGGTCTTGTTGTCGTACCCGCCATAAATTATATATGTATATAAACATAAATACTCGAAGCAGTATTAAATTATCTCAATGCTGTCTCGCAGATGAACATAAATAATCACCATCGCTTAAAATTAGGTGGCTTTCTAAAGTTCTTTCGCATTTGATTATTGCTTGATGTTCTCCTATGCCCAAAACACAACAAAAAAGACTCGACTTATCACACAAATTTCATGGATAATTGTTTTATTCAAATTTTGCCAGTGATGACGTGCGACCAAAGTTATAGCGTACAGACTAYAGCTTAGGAAAATCCTTAGTTAGCTAATCTATGGGAAAATCTAAAAAGTATGAAACTCATGCAACGCTAAATGATTTATTTCTGTTTATATTTTCATTAATTTTATTAATCTCATTTGAATTTGTRGTGCAARAATTTAGAAGTTYRAAACGATAAAGAMCRCATACTACAAAATTGTTAAGTGTTTTCGAAATAATCGTCTGGCTAGMSCAAAATTTAATGTATATGTACGTGGTCATTTCTCAAAAATATCGAGCTTAAATAKGTTTTGTCAATTCAATCAAWTGAAGATTATTTACGCATCATTACGCATKTTGAATGAAAATTTATAAAATGAGTAACRGGTTAATTTTRTAACAGAATTTGAAAATTATTACCAGARTGGAACTGGAACGTTGAAACCTTTACAAAAAATAAAAGTTTAGCGTACAACTCTAGTTAGCTTAAAGGCAAAATCGGCACAGTTCATGTACAACTGCTTCCTCAGCGCCTGTGACCGAATTTTCAGCGCTTTTGGCTTCGCCCGCTCGATTATTCGGAATACGTCTAAGAAAAACGAGGATTTATGTAAGGTTTAATGTTTGCTGATTACGTGGTAGTTGCCGGCAGTTTAGTATTGATGCATTCAGGAATCGATAGAACAGGTTTGAATAATGCCCCTACTTAAAATACTCTATCCTAAACTCATCGTTTCAGAAATAGAAGGCGTTGCAGGAGGATTTTTTTCTCCCGCACAGCTTTCTTAAGAATATTTTATATTGCGAACTCACATGTAACCTGCCCTTTAGTTCTCGATCATTCCTCATTTTCACATAGATTTTCTCATCTAAACTTAGACGAACTAAATCAAGCGGTTCTTTCACTGTGATAGATGGAATCTAAAAATTGCATCTAATATAAGTATGCTGAATATAAATATTACCATCGGCAGCACTTACAACATCTAACTCATCGGCCATTTTATATGGATTGAAGACACTAGTATTTACTGTTAATATTAAAATTACAAATGCGAAAAATTTCAATTTTTGGCAACCGGTTTGTAGAGGTTATATTTTTTTCTCAGTTTGACAAGTGATTGGCTGGAGACTGTAGCGACCTCTATCCGCCACTTCACAAGCGACAGCTTCAACTAAGAAGAACTAATATATCTCACCCAGCACATCTATGGTCGCTTCGATACAAAATCGACATCCAATAAAAAATTACATTTCATTCCGGTGTTTCATTCCGGTGTCTACCGCATAGATAAACCGGATGAAACGCTGCTTCAACGCCCGCCTATGCTCTGATATCCGATGTTGCCGTTTTTAAGGGATATACCAATTTTGGCAGTAGGTAGTAGGCAACCCTACTACCATGGATACTATTAAGTATGATATTACAAGTTGTAATACTTATTGGAAGAATGCGACAAATCTGTATATAAAGTTATGCAAAAACCACAAAAATTGTTTGTCAAGAAGTTTGTATTATTTGTAACGAATGCAATCACATGAAATTAATGTGGTTGTTGGTTTTATAAGGAAAATCAACCAAAGTGCAAACAAATCCATATTTTAATAGCAAATTTAGATAGCCTCAGCAAAAAATCTGATTTCGAGAGAACCAATTCTTCCAGACACATGCGATGGATCTGAAGCCAAAGAAAAAATTTGTAAGCAATTTAATTATAGTATAAGGTATAATAATATAGTATAAGTACTGTATTAAGTATACTCTCTTATAGTGTAGTATTAAGTATACTATTATAGTAAAAGGAATATATGTAGATTTTATTATATTCTCCCCGATTTTAAATTCCTCGCATGCGTGGTATAGATAAAGAAAGGTAGTGTGGGTTTAAGCGTAGGCGGCAACGTGGGAGATCAGTGCGATTTAGGTCTCGTTTGATTGGCCTCAAACCAGACATATTGCGTCGTTGCCGGCTTGTAAACTTTAACTCATAGTCTTTTCTCATTTCCTTTATTGGCGGTAACAATTCAGAACCACACTCACGTAAAGTGCCGTTTTCGCCCTCATATCGAACAATATCTTTTATTTGAATAAAGGACATAACACGTATCATAAGTTCAGTATAATAAATAAAAATAACCAAAAATAAAAGGCGCCAACTTTATATTTGAAATTTGATGTCTGTGCYATTTTTTAAATTGTCKCGTTATGACGTTTYTAATTTTTCGAAAGCGTACTTTTGTAAGCATATACAAGTGAAACAATCAGTGTTGAAAATTGAAATTGCTGCTTTTACGGTATGGTGTTTGTATAATTTGCATATTTTGAATGACATTTGCGCTATTTAAAAATATCATGTTTTGCTTATGGCAACGTCGGCAAGCGCAGAAAAATAGCCCATTTGAACGACTTTGAGACTGAACTTGTAATAAATTTATAATTTACAACTTGTAAGTAAACTTTAAATTATGATCAATAGTTGTCTATAAACCTACGTAATTCATTTAAAAAACCTGATCRAAAAATGGCGGTTTTTTATTTATTCGAATGAAAAGGTTTTTAAACAATAACTTTAATAATAAAGTATTCATTATATTTGCTAATGCGGGAATTTAGACAACAACACCGCTTTCTGACGTCGATGGTTGATGATACAATGAATATTGTACATTGTATCATGTCGATGGTTGTACCTGCAGGCGTTGTTGCCACACACATTTGTGCAAAGAAGCAGTTATTTTTTTATTTTCAGCTTAGTAAATATGCGTTTTATCGGAAAGTATTTCGTCTTAACCACAAGGGAAATAGATATTAAGTTAATTTTCGTTCATATTTTCACATTATTGAATGTAATTGTAGCTTATCTAGAGTTTTGAATCGAAAAATTTGAATTATAGATTGAACGTCAAATGCCCTCTATGATTGCGCTCGAACAAGAATTCTTGGCAAAGCTAACCAACGAACGTGGAATGAATTACAACGGTAAATGGCGGACATGTTGTTAGCAGTGTTATCGTGCTGAAGACTTCGTGTGGTTTTCAGTTGTTTTCCAAAGATTTAGTTATCCGTAAGTACCCGTTTTCATTAAAATTTCGGGATTTTGCATGATTAGTGATAATACTGTTGGCTTGGCGGTTCGCGAACATGTCCAAGGGTAGGGAGCTTCGTCGCGGTGATTCGGACAATTTTGTGGAAGGGGTGCCCATGTGTGTTCATCCCCACAATCTTTAGGAAAGTGGTGGTGGATTTCCTCCACCATTTCCCAAAAGTGGGGCATCGGCATCGCCTCGGATTCATCTTGGGGATTCGGGGTTTTGATGTTTTTGAGTTTCCTGCGTAAATCGGGTGAACGACCCGTCGCCAAGCTCGCAGTTTTTTGTTTTGGCAGCCATTTTATTGCTAATTGCATATTACGTGAAAATATTTCCCCAAGTATCTCATTCTTAAATAAAACCTCTGCTAAGCACTTCATCATATGAGAATTTCTAATATTAAACTGGAGATTATCTTGGGTCGTTGTTGATCCCGACACTGCAACGGCACTTGGTGTGCAACTTTTATATTACCTTATACTTAAATTCTCTAACTATTAAACGTTTTTCGCTTGAACGGCCATGGACAGTTTAGATATAATGCAAAATTGCTCATGTATTTTTTACAAAAACTTGTTTGAATATTCTACGCATTGGATGAGCTCTACATAATAATAATAATATTGCTTTGCTTTATTTCAAATCATGG